CTCAAGACTTTTTTAACAAATCTCAGCTTAATTAATATGGACTTGGAGCTTATTAAATGACCAAGTTTTTTTTTTTAAAGTGGGGTAAATGTAGTAGAGTTGATAAAAACAAATCACAATTAATTTATGACTTTTTTTTTCGAAACTTAGCTGTGTTTGCCCGCCCACTTGTCATCCTTAAATAGTTTTAATAATGAAAAACTCTCGTTTCGTTTAAAGTAAATTCTGTCTAGTTTAATAAGGAGCGATGTTAAATTACTTAAATCAAATATTTTTTTTAATTATGACTTCCTTGACATAAATCTTAAATCTTGACACAAATCTACTTTTCTGCTGGAAATTCGGCGTTTATACGAAATGTTTTGTAGCTCTAGAGGTCTGTTACCACTAACCGATTCAGGATTTAATTTTGGGGGGAGGAGGCTTCAGCCATTAGGTTTTTTTTTACATATATAACGATAATTACATTGGAAAAAAAAGGAATTAACTACTATTTCATATTCAATAATACTTACAATTTTATTCAAATTCTTTTAATTACATTTGTTGTCTTGTACCAACATTAGACTGCCAACATTGTCAACAAATATATACAGGTGAAACTTCAAAAAAACTAAAAACCAGAATAGCAGAACATACATCAAACTGCAAAAATAGTAAAAACATTAACATATCAGCTCTAGCAAACCATAGTATTAAATCACTTAACACTTTTGACTTCGAAAACCCAGAAATACTAGCAAAAGAACAAAAAACAAATAATAGGAAACTGCTGGAAGCTATACTTATAACAAAAAACAATAATAGAACAGTAAACTATAAAGCAGATACAAAACATTTAGGTACTATTCGGACATAATATCCAATATTAAAATTTAAAAAAAACAACAATAGCAAAAAAAAAAAATCACAACAAAAAGCCATAATAAGAAATAAGAGGATAGGTACAAAGTACATAAATAAAACTAAAGATAGCCAGATGTTGATTAGTGTATTAATGAATATGTAAAGCTGTGTAACACCAAAAAATAGTTTTAAAAAAATGTGACAAATATATAATTTTTGACAAATGGTGCCACATCAAAAAAAGAAACGCACATAATTGTACAATAGATGAAGTAGAATGATATTGTTAATATAAAATGTGCATAATTTCAGTGAAGATAAAGATTGCTCTGATGATGGGAAAATTGTCCCGAAACGTAAGAGACAACAAATGTAATTAAAAGAATTTGAAGAACATTGGAAGTAATGTTGCCTTAAATATGAAAAAATTATAAACGTAGGTTTCCTAATAAAAAAAGGAAAATAAGAAGAAACTAACTACATATATGAAAAAGTGTTTAAGAGATAGTTGAAGTCCTATTATATATAATTAATTACAGGAGCAATAATACATTAAGAGCTCATTTTTTAATATTTATTTCATTAAACAGGATTTAATTTTACCATTTGGTGGGGAGGGGAGAGAGCTTCAGCCCGAAAGCACTCCCTCCTCCCCGTAGGATATCCGCCGATGTTATCACTCCTTTAATTATTTCCATCTACTTACCGGACATCCTGTGTATCCATATATATACTTAAGATAATTATTATAATCGGATTATAGGTCACTAAACTTCATTTTAATAAACTGCAATAGCTTCTGGGTTTTTTTTTTTATTCAAATCGTTTCGATCCCTCTTTTCGAAATAATGAGATATTTTTCACTTCTGGAAAAACAATACCATCCCATCATTGGTTCAACAAATAAAAGTCTTCTTTCATCCTAAGAACAATCTGAAAGAAGTGGTAGAAAATAATGGCTTGCCTTCGAGGTCTTTAACTAAATTAATAGTATTTAAAGGTTAATAAGAAGCGAGGTGTATCATTTTTACTGTGTTATTAATATTTTTTATTGAATGTATAATAGTTGACCGTTGTATTACAAAGGAAGGAGATGGTCCGAGGTGGCGGTCATAAATAGGCTAAATACTGACAAAACTATTTTATTAAAAGACAACGTTTAGACCCGACTTGCAGGTCTTCTTCAGGGCTAGAACGGACAAGATACAAAAAGATATACGAGAATCGTGGAAATTACATAATATTTAGACAAAAAATTATAAACAATGTGAATAAGCTTATTAAAATTATAAACAGTAAGTGCATTAAAATATAAACAGAGTATGCTAAGTAACAAGAGCCTAAACTGAAGTAAATAGATGGTAAAAATTGTTGTAGTGTAATATATAATATATGCAAATGTGAATATACATCTACAGATCTACAGGAGAGATTGAAAGAAAAGGAAAAAGGATATAATATGAAATATTAGACATAAAGGAATGTGGAGAAAGAAAAGAAAAAAGAAAACCAAAAAATTAATAAATGAGTATATAAAATTAGAAGAATAAAAATAGAAACTTACAGGTGTGTTTAGCTAGGAGTTTCACTTAGAACTGGAAAGTCAGGGTAAGGGTAGGTATTCGGGAAATTTGCTGACCTGTTTGAGTAATGGGGAGAAAAAAACCCTGAAAAATTACAGTATCTAAAATTTGAAGATATTAATTTTTTTTTAATTAATCACAGTTGAATATTTTTATTTTATTGAGTTTGTACATATTTAAAATAAGATTATAAATAAATCTATTGAAGAGTTTCTGATTTTATTTATTGACTGTAACCATTGGAGTTTTTTTTTTTCTAATTTTCTACGGGGTATATCCATTTCACTGTGAGCCACTGTATATTATCATATTCTGATAAAGTTACAGATTTTTAAAATTTGCATACCTGATCTACATTACAAATTTCTAAGCCATTGCAAAAATATTACTAATAATTCGCCCGAAACTTTCAATGAATCCAAACATTTAATGAATGGTTTTTAATTTTATATACATTTAAACCCATATTTTATGGAAAAAAATCTTAACTTAAAAGTGTAAAATTTATTTATTGTTCTCTCTGACAATCAAGCCAGTATTGTAAACATTGTATTGTACAGATCTTAACATTATTTATTGCCTATTTCAAAAGAACATATTATTTTGAAATATAAATATACAAAATTGTAAGTATGTAATTATATATATATTTTTTTATTGTTAAAACTAAACTCTTAAACTAGTGATATGTTCATAATTTGTTCAATATAGTGCATTAGGTGTTGCTTTATCGAAAATTGAGTCTAATAACGTGAATAAGTTAGTAAAAAAAAAGAATTAAATAAAAAGAAAAAAATGGTAGTCATTTCCAGCCCAATGTTTCTGCGTATCCTCAGTAATTTCCGAGGTAGCATATTTCGGCATCATTAGAAAACTTTTTTATATATATATATATATATATATATATATATATATAATATATATATATATATACACATTTTTTTTTTCTGTCGGCATTACAGACCATATAGATCTTTTGCCGCCTTAACAAGCCTGCTCCATCTCTGCATGTCTTGAAATATTTCCATTTATCTGTTGCATCTTTGTTGATTTTATCTATCCATATGCTTTATAGTATTCTATGTGGTCTTTTGCCTTCTATTGAGGCATTCATTATTACGTAGAGGCTTTCAGATGGATTGCTACGAGCTACATGCCCCGCCCATCTTAACCTCCTTGCCTTCATATCAGAGGATAATGATTGACCAGTTTCTGTAATCAATTCTTTATTGGTCTTTCTTCTCCATGTCTTAGTGCACTGATCCTAGATCTCTCCGGTTATCGTGCGAAAGATTTTCCCTCCCAAATCTTTCAACACTTTTTCTAGTGTGCTAGTTTTATATATATATCAGTGTATTATAGTTTTTTTGTTTCTTTTATTATTTTGTCATAAAGTAAGGAGGCGTTCGAAATTCCGTTACAGGATAATTTTCGGCTACGAACTTAAAACACAACATTTCTACATATTTTTTTCCTTAAATTCAATTAAAAATAGTTTCCAACTAGTTTTTCAGTGAAAAAAGGACTCTTTACTGTAGAAATAAGTTAGTGCAAAGTATTATGAGATAGATAAATTCCTATAACCATTTACACACACACACTATATATGTATATCTTTGGTATATGGAATCCACCATTTTCTCATCGCCCTCCTCAGAACATTTCTTTATCCTTCATTAATATATCCTTACTATATTTGATACTTATAATTTTAACAGTCAACTATATCTCTATCTTTAATATATTCACTGGTTTACCATTAGATTTATGTTTTTAAATTATTATTGGTTATGTATACTTTTCGAAAAATATACGCTACAGTGTCTAACTTTTGAATATTTGATTGCAAGGTTTTGAAGAAAGCAAAGTTAAAAATAAAAATAAAAAAAATGTTCAGAGCAATCAGGGACAACTTTACAAATCAATAAGACGGTAATGATACAATTTGAAAGTCTGAATAGGGAAAAAAGGCCGAGATATAAAAGAGCGGTAGAGATTTTTCTTTATTTTTCTGTTTGGAAAAATCCAACCCTCGGAGTCCTTTTAACCTCGGGAGTTTTTCATTAAAAGAGAAGAAAACTCTTGCTCGTTATCAAAGAGTGTATTCAATGGCCGCACGGTCCGTTGGCTTAGAGATCGGCTGAGGCCCGTCCCTTATTAGCATCAGAGTTAAGCTAATTGGGGGTAGTTCTGCCTCTTTAGTGGTGTGTTTAGTAGGAGTGGGCGTGGCCGATCGAGCCCGGCCAATGGCATGCGGCCCTCCTTCCCCCACCTCTCGTCGGCCACGCCCCCGCCCACCATTACCGCTCTAAACATCACTTTCACTCCGCCTTTCCGCCTAAACATATCGTTTACTTACTAAACACTCTTTCAACTGTACACAAGTTTTTTTTTGTTTTATCTCTTATATTCTTACCTTATATTACTCGCTACTTTTATTGTTGTTTTACAATAATTATTTCTAAATATATATATATTTTTGCAATGTTTTTTAAAATGTTCTCGATACGTCATTCAGTTTTCGGTTAATTTGTTATATATATTGATATTATATTATTTCGCCGAAGTATCATGACGCAGAGCAAGCCCTCATCATTCATGATCAAAGACCTCTTAGGAGATGTCATTGAAGAAAATGAAGGTAAATTTTTTTAAATTTTATTAGCTATAATAGATACATTTCAGTGATAGTACCTGCATTATTTTATTTTTATAATTATAAATTATTTAATGACGAACCATTCATTTTGGGGTATAAATTAATTTTTAACCTCATGTGAAAAAAAAGAGTGAACTAGTGCAATTCTTTAATATGTTAAAAAAATACTTTTTTTTTTTAACCAAGAGGCTTTAAGAGAAACATTTTGTAATTTAATATAATTAAAATATAGATTTAATAGTAAGCGTTGCCGCTTAAGTAAAATCTTAACAGAAATAAAATCCTAAAATTTGATATGATATAGAAATGGAAATTAAACTTTATTCTGAGACAAAGTCCCCTTAGAATAACAATAATGAATACATACATATCTGGCCAAAAACTAATTTAATAAACTTAATATATTTATTTATTCCATCGCTATAAGCAAAAAATTATAAACGTCTAAATTATTTGAGGTGATCCAGGTACCGATATAATTCAGAAATTAATTATTATTTAAAGTTAGTAACGAAGAAGCAGTTATGGCTGATAAAGCTGACTAATATTCATTTATTGGTTTATATAGAAGCTATTAAGAAAATTGAAATCATGCTAATAGAAACTGTATACTTTTTGTAAGTGAGCAAAAATTTTAAATGTTTTACATTTTATTTAATAGCGTCTTAAACATTCAAAGTAGGACCTTGTTTATAATCTTAACGCAAAAAAAAAAAAAAATGAAAAACTTAAACAAAAAAAAATTGTCAAAAATCTAAGAATTCTACATAGTTAATTTAGAATTTTTTTTTTTTAAGTTTATGCAATATTAATAATTATAGTAATTGAAAGATTTATTTTATATAACTGTTACTACAATTACCTGCTGATTTTTTTTAACTCTTAATTTATATAGCATTTATCCGAAATTAAATTTTCTTTGTCAATTAACAATCCCTAGCGATTTATAATTAATTTATTGGTGTACTTAATTTCATAAAGAAAGTGATTATATGAATATGAACAGAAAAATAATTTTAATTGTTTTTTTCACTCATCTCTATATACATGAAATTATCATCTCGAAACTAAGTGATGACTGTGAGTTATCATATAGAATTTAATATATTCATGATTTTAATTTATGTAAATATTGTAAATTTCTTGTAAATAAATTATGTAGGATTAGAAAAAAATCACGATTTTAATTATTTATGATTTTAAACTATTTATATGTGTAAATAGTTAAAACTAAACTATGGAGGATAAGAAAAAAAAACATGATTTTAATATATATTATTAATTTTAGTATTATTATAACTATACGAACCCAATCATTTAATTAATTATTAACAATGAATGAATAAATAAATAAAAACAAAATATAATAATAAAATATAAATATAAATAGAATAAATAACAAGAAATGATCAAAATAGGTCTCCTAAAAATTTATTGATGCAGAAATAGAAGAATTTTTAAAAAGAAGGTATTTCAAAAGAGAAAATAAATGAACTTTCGAAAAAAATACAAAAACTATTTATTTACTTGTAGGAGACCATCATTACTAGCACTCGAATTTAATAAGTATGTTATTTTATTTTTATATTTAACGAAAAATACAGTGTTCAACAGATCTTTGATAGTATGATTTAAATGGAATATCTTATAGGATCTTTTTTTAACTATTTCACAATGTCAGACCAAAGTTGTTTTGTTTTTTTCATTTACTACATAAATAGATCTGTTCTGAGGTGTTCATTCGCAATTTTAACCATTTAATTATATTCAAAACTTATTATGTATGGTTTTGTTCTAAATTATACAGGGTATTTCAGGGTTAAGTGGCCAAACTACAAAAATGGACCTCAAAATAAGAAACAAATTTCGTCTGAAGGTATGTCCGCAAACGCTTTATTTAGGAGATATTTACACCCAAATATATTCGTTATTATGAATTATTTACGTTAAATGAAATAAATAAAACCCATTTATTTGTTCTAACTACTTTATTAATTAAATGTAGACATTAACATTCGTATTAAATGTTGTTCGAAGTGAAGATATGTCCGCAAATGCTTTGTTTAGGAGATGGATTGGATAGAATACTAAAATGGCGTTTTATCCCTAACTGTATAAAAACTATTGGCAACATAAGTATTAATACTATTTGGAATTAGCATTGGGAACTCTCGATAACATTTATCAGTTTGTAAGATGCTTTCACAGAGTAGTCATCATTATGCCTTCCATTTATACTAATGGTGAATATGCCGATATGGTGTTTGCAATGATAATGCTAATGCTGCCCGTCGCGAATATGGCAGGCGATTCCCGAATAGAAGATTACCAAACAAGTCTAAAGCTCCATGTTTTAACTTCTTAGAAAAACTGGTACATTTTCTATCATTTTTGCCCCTTCACTTTGTCAACAACAGCCCAAATCAATTTGAACAACATTTAATATGAGTTTAATGTTTACCTTTAATTAATAAAGTATTTGAAACAAATAAATAAGTTTTATTTACTTAATATAACGTAAATAATTCATAACAATGAAAATATGTAGGTGTGATTATCTCCTAAACAAAGTGTTTGTGGACATAACTTCAGACGATTTTTTTTTTCTTGTTTTGAGGTCATTAGTTCATTTTCGCATTTTGGCCACTTACCCCTGAAACACCCAGTATATGTAATTAAAATAATGTAATATAAACTTCAAATAAAAAATAGTAAAAAACACTTGTAATATGCGGATATTTTGCTAGGAAACATTTGTTAGTAACGCCCAAGAAAACGAAACGGGTTTTGAGCGAGGAAGTTAACAATTTCCTACTTTGTTTCAGAGAAAGACCTCACGACGGAACCAAATCCGGATTTCATTCCCATTCGATAAAACCTCTCACCTGCTGTTTACAAGCTCATTTTTATTTTATTCGATCTTTATTCCGTACTATTAAGATTGTTGTAATAAGATCCGCTTCATGCCAAATAAACATCTCAAGAAACTGTTATTTATATTAAAATGATAAGGAAAACAAAAATGAACCAGTAAAATTGCCGATCTTAATCTAGAAACCTAAATGTATTGTTATAATCATTTTTGAATTAAATCATATTAAAACGAACCCTTCTATAATTGACAAGTTGAAGTACAATATTTTTTATTTATTTAGAAACATAATAATCTGTCACGTGGACAATAATTATAGTGATATATGAACACATTCACACCGTATATACAGAAAATATAAAATTTACAAAAGTAAAATAATAACTAAATAATAATCGAAAACTATGAACAATAAAAAATAAAATAACCTAAAGATAAGTAAATTAAAAACATAAAAACGCAGTCATATAAGATAATAAAGTTTAATTTTTTTTACACCTTAAAGATATTAAAAAAATCAATACATAATTGAAAATAAAAATAGTTCTCTACAACAATTATTCCTCTTAAAGCTGACAAAAAAAAAACTATATCAAATTAAGTTTTGTTATAGCAGGAATACAAAATAAATATTTATTAATCCTTAAACAAATTAAAAGTGAAATAGATTAAAGGATATGTTAAATATATAAGATTATCTATTTATTCATTTTTTATTTCCACTTATCTATATAAGCTAATTTATAAGCTTTCTAAAAAAAAAATTCACAATAAATGTTATAGTAACTTCTAGAATGAGTAATTTACTATATTCATATTTTTTTAATAGCTTGGAAATCCTTGCTCTTAATCACCTTAAATTCGATTTATTTTAAATAATTATGTGTTTCCCATTTTTGCTAGTAAGTGATAAAAAAAGGCTCAATACAAACTATAAAAAAATTTGATAATTGATAAAAGGAGAATAAAGGAAAAATTTGTTTTTAGGTTCAAAATGAATAACTGAAAATATATCGTTGGAAAGATGAGAATTTCAGAAGAAATAATAAATAACATAGAAAGTTGTAAAACATAACGGAGAGTAACAGAAAACTTATAAATAATAATTCATTACTGCGGAAACCAAATGTTTTTATGAAAATTAAATTAAATGTCAATTTTTGAAATGATTTTTAATTTTTTTAAAAAACTATTGTTAGAAATATATTATTTCTTAAAAAAATATATATTTTATATTAATTGTATGGAAGAAGAAGTGGAATATAAAAATATTTCACGGATGAGTTAAGTAAACCATATGTTTATAACCTTAAATATATTTACTGTTATTAAATAACTTTAAATTTGATAATTAAATAATTAGGTATATAGCGTAGGTTTATTCCAAAAAAAAATAATAATAAATAACCTTTTAGAAAATAAATTAATGAAAAAATTGATAATTGTTTTCTCTGCGCAATCACAATATACACCTACAATTATTGTGGCGACTTTTAACCTATCGATTATTGGCAATGAAAAACCCCAAACTGTATTTTTTGGTAAATTTCACAAGAGAAAAATAAATAAGAATTTCAATATATGTGAAAAGTTATAGAGATTTCGGTTAAATATATATTATCTTTGTATATATTGGACTGGTATATCGATTTATGTGATTCAAATAGATGGATGGAATTATAAGGTTTTCGAATACCTGCCTTCGATATAATAATTAGCTTTTGTGTTATTCTTATGATCTTAATTATAATAGTTTTTATTAAAAAAATTTACAAATGTGTTCTTTAATGCTTAGCTTCATTAAAAATGCACTTCAAAAACTGTATGTAATAGTTCAATTTTGTCAACCTATAATATCTCTTCAAACTAAATTGGTAAGTGAAAGTTGTATGATAGTACGCTAATCTCATTTTTATTATTTTGTGTCATAAAGAATAAATTATTACCTATAAATGTCTATTATTATCCTTATTTATTTATTTTATTCTATCAATCCATTTCTTTATTTTTTTTGTCCTTTTTTTTATTTTTATTTTTTGTACCAACCATCCAAATAGTATTAAGTGATGTTATTTAGTTGATCGGGCGCTTATGACCTGGATGTTTTGCG